GTTTTCTGCAGCTGTAGTCAGTGGCATGCCTTCAGTTTGATCAGTTATATGTTGTATAGTAGATGCTGTTTTACAAGTATTTGATGCTTGTTCTGAGGTTCGAGTGAGATGAGTGGGCGAAACTGTAGATATGTCATTGGCGGTTATGGTGGTTAAATCAGATTGATTTATTTCTCTGGATATTGCAGTAGGTCTCTTCGTTTTGTAATAAGATGAACTATCAACAGTGTTTATTGATGCAGAGGTCATTGTCGCAGCATTATTGTTGTTGTCATCTGCCATTGTAGTTGCAGTCATGAAGGGTTTATTTGACTGAGAACTCAGAATTACAGCTTGATGTGTACCAGTGATATGTTGACTTGTCCTGCTTTCTTGAGCAGTAGTCAGATGTATACCTTCTGTTTGATCAGTTCTCTGCTGTATAGTAGGTCCAGTTTCACCAGTGTTTGGTGCACGCGTTGAGGTTTGAGAGTGGATCATTGGAGAAACTGTAGGTATGTCAGTTGCAGGCATGCTACTTGATTCAGATTTATCCACAGATTTTGTGGGATTGCCAGTGCTGTAATAAGGTGAACTATCTTCAGGTTGTGTTGATGGAGAAGAAGGCATCACAGAATTTGTGTTATAGTGTATTGTTGAAGTAGCAGTCATGATGGGTCCATTTGACTGCAAGCTTGAAGAAACAGTTTGATCTGTACCGATAGTACTTTTACTCGGCTTGTTTTCTGCAGCTGTAGTCAGTTGCATGCCTTCAGTTTGATCAGTTATATGTTGTATAGTAGATGCTGTTTTACCCGTATTTGATGCTTGTGTAGAGGTTCGAGTGAGATGAGTGGGCGAAACTGTAGATATGTCATTGGCGGTTATGGTGGTTAAATCAGATTGATTCATTTCTCTTGATATTGCAGTAGGTCTCTTCGTTTTGTAATAAGATGTACTATCAACAGTGTTTATTGATGCAGAGGTCATTGTCGCAGCATTATTGTTGTTGTCATCTGCCATTGTAGTTGCAGTCATGAAGGGTTTATTTGACTGAGAACTCAGAATTACAGCTTGATGTGTACCAGTGATATGTTCACTTGTCCTGCTTTCTTGAGCAGTAGTCAGATGTATACCTTCTGTTTGATCAGTTCTATGCTGTATAGTAGGCCCAGTTACACCAGTGTTTAGTGCACGCGTTGAGGTTTGAGAGTGGATCATTGGAGAAACTGTAGGTATGTCAGTTGCAGGCATGCTACTTGATTCAGATTTATCCACAAATTTTGTGGGATTGCCAGTGCTGTAATAAGGTGAACTATCTTCAGGTTGTGTTGATGGAGAAGAAGGCATCACAGAATTTGTGTTATAGTGTATTGTTGAAGTAGCAGTCATGATGGGTCCATTTGACTGCAAGCTTGAAGAAACAGTTTGATCTGTACCGATAGTACTTTTACTCGGCTTGTTTTCTGCAGCTGTAGTCAGTTGCATGCCTTCAGTTTGATCAGTTATATGTTGTATAGTAGATGCTGTTTTACCCGTATTTGATGCTTGTGTAGAGGTTCGAGTGAGATGAGTGGGCGAAACTGTAGATATGTCATTGGCGGTTATGGTGGTTAAATCAGATTGATTCATTTCTCTTGATATTGCAGTAGGTCTCTTCGTTTTGTAATAAGATGTACTATCAACAGTGTTTATTGATGCAGAGGTCATTGTCGCAGCATTATTGTTGTTGTCATCTGCCATTGTAGTTGCAGTCATGAAGGGTTTATTTGACTGAGAACTCAGAATTACAGCTTGATGTGTACCAGTGATATGTTCACTTGTCCTGCTTTCTTGAGCAGTAGTCAGATGTATACCTTCTGTTTGATCAGTTCTATGCTGTATAGTAGGCCCAGTTACACCAGTGTTTGGTACACGCGTTGAGGTTTGAGAGTGGATCATTGGAGAAACTGTAGGTATGTCAGTTGCAGGCATGCTACTTGATTCAGATTTATCCACAAATTTTGTGGGATTGCCAGTGCTGTAATAAGGTGAACTATCTTCAGGTTGTGTTGATGGAGAAGAAGGCATCACAGAATTTGTGTTATAGTGTATTGTTGAAGTAGCAGTCATGATGGGTCCATTTGACTGCAAGCTTGAAGAAACAGTTTGATCTGTACCGATAGTACTTTTACTCGGCTTGTTTTCTGCAGCTGTAGTCAGTTGCATGCCTTCAGTTTGATCAGTTATATGTTGTATAGTAGATGCTGTTTTACCCGTATTTGATGCTTGTGTAGAGGTTCGAGTGAGATGAGTGGGCGAAACTGTAGATATGTCATTGGCGGTTATGGTGGATAAATCAGATTGATTCATTTCTCTTGATATTGCAGTAGGTCTCTTCGTTTTGTAATAAGATGTACTATCAACAGTGTTTATTGATGCAGAGGTCATTGTCGCAGCATTATTGTTGTTGTCATCTGCCATTGTAGTTGCAGTCATGAAGGGTTTATTTGACTGAGAACTCAGAATTACAGCTTGATGTGTACCAGTGATATGTTCACTTGTCCTGCTTTCTTGAGCAGTAGTCAGATGTATACCTTCTGTTTGATCAGTTCTCTGCTGTATAGTAGGTCCAGTTTCACCAGTGTTTGGTGCACGCGTTGAGGTTTGAGAGTGGATCATTGGAGAAACTGTAGGTATGTCAGTTGCAGGCATGCTACTTGATTCAGATTTATCCACAGATTTTGTGGGATTGCCAGTGCTGTAATAAGGTGAACTATCTTCAGGTTGTGTTGATGGAGAAGAAGGCATCACAGAATTTTTGTTGTAGTGTATTGTTGAAGTAGCAGTCATGATGGGTCCATTTGACTGCAAGCTTGAAGAAACAGTTTGATCTGTACCGATAGTACTTTTACTTGGCTTGTTTTCTGCAGCTGTAGTCAGTGGCATGCCTTCAGTTTGATCAGTTATATGTTGTATAGTAGATGCTGTTTTACCTGTATTTGATGCTTGTGCTGAGGTTCGAGTGAGATGAGTGGGCGAAACTGTAGATATGTCATTGGCGGTTATGGTGGTTAAATCAGATTGATTCATTTCTCTTGATGTTGCAGTAGGTCTCTTCGTTATGTGATAACGGGAACTATCAACAGTGTTTATTGATACAGAGGTCATTGTCGCAGCATTATTGTTGTTGTCATCTGCCATTGTAGTTGCAGTCATGAAGGGTTTATTTGACCAAGAACTCAGAATTACAGCTTGATGTGTACCAGTGATATGTTCACTTGTCCTGCTTTCTTGAGCAGTATTCAGATGTATACCTTCTGTTTGATCAGTTCTATGCTGTATAGTAGGCCCAGTTACACCAGTGTTTGGTGCACGCGTTGAGGTTTGAGAGTGGATCATTGGAGAAACTGTAGGTATGTCAGTTGCAGACATACTACTTGATTCAGATTTATCCACAAATTTTGTGGGATTGCCAGTGCTGTAATAAGGTGAACTATCTTCAGGTTGTGTTGATGGAGAAGAAGGCATCACAGAATTGTTGTTGTAGTGTATTGTTGAAGTAGCAGTCATGATGGGTCCATTTGACTGCAAGCTTGAAGAAACAGTTTGATCTGTACCGATAGTACTTTTACTTGGCTTGTTTTCTGCAGCTGTAGTCAGTTGCATGCCTTCAGTTTGATCAGTTATATGTTGTATAGTAGATGCTGTTTTACCAGTATTTGCTGCTTGTGCTGAGGTTCGAGTGAGATAAGTGGGCGAAACTGTAGATATGTCATTGGCGGTTATGGTGGTTAAATCAGATTGATTCATTTCTCTTGATATTGCAGTAGGTCTCTTCGTTTTGTAATAAGATGTACTATCAACAGTGTTTATTGATGCAGAGGTCATTGTCGCAGCATTATTGTTGTTATCATCTGCCATTGTAGTTGCAGTCATGAAGGGTTTATTTGACTGAGAACTCAGAATTACAGCTTGATGTGTACCAGTGATATGTTTACTTGTCCTGCTTTCTTGAGCAGTAGTCAGATGTATACCTTCTGTTTGATCAGTTCTCTGCTGTATAGTAGGTCCAGTTTCACCAGTGTTTGGTGCACGCGTTGAGGTTTGAGAGTGGATCATTGGAGAAACTGTAGGTATGTCAGTTGCAGGCATGCTACTTGATTCAGATTTATCCACAGATTTTGTGGGATTGCCAGTGCTGTAATAAGATGAACTATCTTCAGGTTGTGTTGATGGAGAAGAAGGCATCACAGAATTTTTGTTGTAGTGTATTGTTGAAGTAGCAGTCATGATGGGTCCATTTGACTGCAAGCTTGAAGAAACAGTTTGATCTGTACCGATAATACTTTTACTTGGCTTGTTTTCTGCAGCTGTAGTCAGTGGCATGCCTTCAGTTTGATCAGTTATATGTTGTATAGTAGTTGCTGTTTTACCAGTATTTGATGCTTGTGCTGAGGTTCGAGTGAGATGAGTGAACGAAACTGTAGATATGTCATTGGCGGTTATGGTGGTTAAATCAGATTGATTCATTTCTCTTGATATTGCAGTAGGTCTCTTCGTTTTGTAATAAGATGAACTATCAACAGTGTTTATTGATGCAGAGGTCATTGTCGCTGCATTATTGTTGTTGTCATCTGCCATTGTAGTTGCAGTCATGAAGGGTTTACTTGACTGAGAACTCAGAATTACAGCTTGATGTGTACCAGTGATATGTTCACTTGTCCTGCTTTCTTGAGCAGTAGTCAGATGTATACCTTCTGTTTGATCAGTTCTCTGCTGTATAGTAGGTCCAGTTTCACCAGTGTTTGGTGCACGCGTTGAGGTTTGAGAGTGGATCATTGGAGAAACTGTAGGTATGTCAGTTGCAGGCATGCTACTTGATTCAGATTTATCCACAGATTTTGGGGGATTGCCAGTGCTGTAATAAGGTGAACTATCTTCAGGTTGTGTTGATGGAGAAGAAGGCATCACAGAATTTTTGTTGTAGTGTATTGTTGAAGTAGCAGTCATGATGGGTCCATTTGACTGCAAGCTTGAAGAAACAGTTTGATCTGTACCGATAGTACTTTTACTTGGCTTGTTTTCTGCAGCTGTAGTCAGTGGCATGCCTTCAGTTTGATCAGTTATATGTTGTATAGTAGATTCTGTTTTACCTGTATTTGATGCTTGTGCTGAGGTTCGAATGAGATGAGTGGGCGAAACTGTAGATATGTCATTGGCGGTTATGGTGGTTAAATCAGATTGATTCATTTCTCTTGATGTTGTAGTAGGTCTCTTCGTTATGTGATAACGGGAACTATCAACAGTGTTTATTGATACAGAGGTCATTGTCGCAGCATTATTGTTGTTGTCATCTGCCATTGTAGTTGCAGTCATGAAGGGTTTATTTGACCAAGAACTCAGAATTACAGCTTGATGTGTACCAGTGATATGTTCACTTGTGCTGCTTTCTTGAGCAGTATTCAGATGTATACCTTCTGTTTGATCAGTTCTCTGCTGTATAGTAGGTCCAGTTTCAGCAGTGTTTGGTGCATGTGTTGAGGTTTGAGAGTGGATCATTGGAGAAACTGTAGGTAAGTCA